TATAATTGATGTCTTTAGAATATTTTCATTACTAATGAAACTCATGGTGAATATAAGTACCAGACAATTTTCTGCTTTCTAATCGTTTATTATTTGTCAACGCTGCTCTAAATCTAACAGTGGCTATTGCTAGTAACACTGCTAAATTTTCTGAACTCCTCTCTTCTTTTAAAATTGATTCGATAATATTTCAAACTTACTGAATCTCTTCGTTTGATAACGATACAATAAGAAATTCGTCGCGAAAACTCGAATTGCATCATCTTCTTTGTTTTATTATGAGTATAAGTGTAGGTATGACATTGTAATGTTTATTATGTTAGGCCAGAATAGAGAAAGAGAATTCCCTTCAAAACTTTATGAGGCTCGTTGGTTCTTTCGTACGGTGTATTATTCTACGTGTTTTTACATTGTATAAAGTTTTCGTATGCTCTAGCGTTTGACGTAAAATAGTCATAAGCCTATATTCTATTCAGTATTATCATATTACATTTACTTTATTGAAACATAAAAATAGATAACAAAATGTACAAGCATACATAATGAAAACTCAAGATGATAATGTATCTGAAAATTATAGTGATTACTTTATCTTTAACACTATTGCCGAATATCATATAGTTATTAATTCAAATTTGCAAAACAATCATCAATAAATTTTGCTTCAACTAGAGTGTATTTGAGAGTTTGATTAATTTGTTAGCCAATAGAATTGAATTCGAAAAAACCTATATTACTAGCACAACTTCATATTCATATATAATTTTACTGATCTTTATTAATTTCATGTTATCTATGATTTTATTAAAATATTGCACAATAATAAACTTATTGTCACAAAATTTTATACATCATTTTCTTGATATTTGAATGAAAAATAAAACATTTCTCAAACAAAATGAATTTAAAGATATTATTTATTTTTCTCTTTTCTAACAAGGAGGATATTTGAATTTTAAATAGTCCATTAAACTTCTTGTTTGTGTTACATTAGTATTATATAAAATAGTTACATTTGAATTGTTTAATTGTGTATAATCTCGTACATATGTTGTTGTTACCACATTATAATAAAATCCACTTTTTAATATATCTGTTCCATTGAATAACCATGTTTTACCATCATCTAATGTTTCTACTCTAGTATAAGCAATAAACATTCCTTTTCCTTTTAAAGATATACCAGTAGTGAGAACTTGAGCAAGTAATTGACCAGGAACAGAAAGAACAACAATCATATTTTCAAAAGGTAATGTACGTAAAATATCATATTGTGTAATTGTTTCACGAAGAATATCATCGATACGTACTGTTCCTCCATTAATAATTGCAATAGTTGTTTTATTTGCTACTGTTAATTGTAACATACTTTCACATATTGAAGCAGTTAAAAGTGTTGTATAACTTAGAACAGATTGAAATCTACCATCTAATTCAATACCAATTGGGAGACATGATAGAATTGCTTTTGGTTCATAACCTAATGCTTGAAATCCTTCAATACCTAAATTAAACCAATAATTTGCTACTGCAGCTGTTTTTTCTTCATCTGGTATTTCGGATGTTACTCGTGCTAAATTACTATAAATACGAAGACGTTTTGTATCTAAATTATATGCACAACGATGTATATAAACAGAAAAAGCATTAGAATCTGCTTTATAAATTGGTATATATTTTGTTCCTCTTAAATAATAATAATTTTCATGCTCATGTCCACCAATAATAAGATCAATTTGTGGAATATTTAAAGCAAGTTCAATATCTATTATCATATCTAAATGAGTAATAGCAACAAGTACATCATATGTTCCATTTGGAAATAATTTTAAAAATGTTTGAACATAATTAACTAATGATGATTGATTAATAATTCGAACATAATTACCAGTTCCATCAAGAGTTAAACCAATGAAAAGAATTCGAATAGTATCAATAGTTATTATTTTATGAGAAATACTTGATCCAAATATTTGATTATTATCTTGACGAAATATATTTGTACTAATCCAAGTAAATGTTGATTCATTCATTCGACTAAGTAAATCTTTTTCAGATAAATCAAATTCATGATTTCCAAATGTTATAAAATCAAGTCCAAGACTATTCATTGTTGCTATCATTTGTTTTCCATTTAGACTTGTTCCATTCACTTTTGATAAACTTAAAGCTGATGGAGAAAGAAGATCACCAGCAAGAATTGTATAAGTATTTGGATTTTCTTCTTTTAATAATTGTCGCATATAAGCAACACGAGCTAAACCACCTTTACGACCTCTATCTTGTGGTAATAATTCATAAACATCATTCATTTGTAAGAAGTTCCATTGAACATATCGACCATCATTAGGTAAACGAATAGGATAACCGATAATGCCATTTGCAATTGCAAATGTATATAATGAAGTTTTAGTATTATGCCATAAACTAGCATAGACAATTGTTAAGATAGTAAGACACACGATTACTATACCCAAAATAGTATATATGAGACCATATGGTAGAAATAACGTTCTCAATCTATCAATATTTATAGGTGCCATGAATACGATTCAATCTAATAATAAAGATGCAAGAATTAATTTAAATTAATAGATTATTATCTTTATTTGAAGATGAATATTGAAACAAATAGTTATAATAAAGTTGAATTTCCTGACAAAATGATACAAGAAATAAAATTTCTTTAATCTTGTTAATCATTAGTATTGTCTTAAAAAATTTAGATGATCGGTGATTAGCATTTGCTCATACACCGCTAGTTCAATGTGTTCAATGAGTGTTTCTTTAATGGTATAGTTGGCCACTGTTGCATGAATCTCAAAGGTTCCTTGACCTGCATGAGCATAGTAAGCTCAGAGAAATCCATGAGTTGTTTGAGTTCTGAGAGTTGAATAACTTATGTAAACTCTATAGGTGTGTTTACTTCTAAAGGTTCCAATTTTCATGACTTTCATGAGTTTTGATGATCGTACGAATACCAAGAGTATCCTTAGTTGCTGTAAGTGCAAATTAATTCGTAAAAATCCTTGAGTTCTAAAATCATGAAGAGCTAATAACTCATGGAAATCGAACATGTCGTTTTCAGATCATCGACTATCGCTTCCTTTTCTGTGGATCTCTCTTTATACAAAATTGAGCGATAAAATACCTTATATTTATAAGATATATTAATTGATTGACAACGTGAGAAGTTGATGATGTCTCAAAATGAAATGCTTGAAAACATTTTTTATAGAGGCGTGTTCGTTGTACATAATGTTGACAGGAATAGTGAAGATAAAGAACGAAAGAGAACGTGTACAAGGTTAAAAGCATATATTCATTGATGAAAAATGAAGTAAGACAGCGAAAATGTAATGAGAGAAAACATTTCTTGTTTGTCATTTATTATATACAGTTTTTATATCAGCTATTCATTTTTTTTTCTCATAAATCAATGTCAATATTTTTTGCATTAATATATATATCTGAATCACGTTTTATGTGCGTGTAAAATACACAGATCGAACATAGCATGACGGAAAAAATGTTTGATTGGAGACACGTTCTTAAAAAAAAGTATCGTAACTGAACGTTTTCTACTCAATCTATTGAGGTTGAAAAATATATTACATTCAGTTCCAGGTTCGATCTTATGTTGTTACTAATATCTTCTAACGATGAACTTGAGCTTATTGTGAAGTAAATGGAATTTTGGAATTATAATATATCTACAATGATAGAAATGAAATTAGAATAAGTAAACTAGCTATTAAGAAGCAAATGTGCATGTCATGAATTCTTCTCATCTTTACAGAGGCATGTATGAAGAAATTGTTTTCTATATGTAATACAATAGTCGTCCATGGACAAAAATAAGTTCTTTTTTCAATTATTCCTTTTTCTCGTCATCTTATATTATGGTATATTCTATACGAAAGTAGCGTACAGATTTGTTTTACATAAACTATTGACAAGAAGAGGTTTTCAAATTCTCAAATCATAGAATTCCCTTTATTTTCTAAACAAAAAGTGAACTAAAGTGATATTTAAACACAATTTAGAAAATACACTTAACAATAATTTACTTTATATGTAAGATTTACCTGTTTTATGACATTGTCTACCAGTCGTTATTTTCACATGTATTAAATTTTGAATCTGATTGCTGATACGAGACATGACATGTAAATAAAACCCGTCTAAAAAGTAATTTATAGAGCTACTCAAAATGATCAAAAGTTAAATCGATTGAATGACATCCATCAAGTACAAGTTGTTCCAAACGATTATTACCAATATCAATAATAGAATGTCTTCTTTTCAGAAGAATCAAAAAATAATGCGATTGTAAAATAGCTACATACTCATACTTGATGAGCAATTTATTATTGATGTAATGTTTCTGTTTGAGATTAGAACAGACTTATATATATATATATACAAATATGTGAAGAGTTATGCTTGCAGAACTTTGCCCAAATGGGGACCAATTATTGATGTTCAATTATTTTAACAAAGAATGTTTGGTAAAAAGAAATATGTAAGTGAAACAACCAGATGAAGATATAAGTCAGATATTTTCACTATAGAATGTGATTTGTTGATTTTGGATATATTTAACGTCATCAGTGACCTATTATAGTATTGACGATTACAAAAAACTTACTGTCATCGATTTACATATCAATAGATGTTTACTTATGTAGATTTCATACAAATATTGATGTGTTATGATGAAACTCGAATAGTTCTAGATAAATTATTAGCCATTCATAAATGACTTTCACAGTATAATGATACTATCATTACCATGAATACACAATAATTATGATTTTTCTTTTTTTATAAAATAATAAAAATATCATTAAAAAAAAACATTCTTTTATGTGAATATATAAAGACTTAAATATTTTTTATATTATTATCAACTAGAATATTTTTCTGTCTAATCAAATAAATAAATTTATTATTTCAAAATATCTATACAAACAATATCTAAATTAAAACATCTATTTCTAAAGTTCTAATTCACTACGACGATAAAAAATAAGTTGAGGTTCTTGATATTTAGTTCGAAATCCACCAAAAAAACGCATAGTATCAACAAATAAAAGTTTATCTTTTGCAGATATATGTGAATTAATTAAATTATATTCATCAAAAGGTTCATCATCCATATAAGTTTCAGCATTGTATTGACTTGGTGAAAGATAAAGAAAAAATGATGTTGAACTTTTTAATTCATCACTATGATCCATTTCATCATTTGGTATTTTATAAATAATTTCAAATTTTTTTGATTTATTAATTTTTGTCGTCTTTTGTTGAAAAAGATAATTATTCAAGGCATCTATTGCCGTATCTATTTGTGGACATTGACAATCATCTGATGGATCTTCATAAGTATCCATTGTACATTCTTGACACATATATAAAGGTTTTGCATAATTTAATCGAAATTCACGTCGTCGTAAATTAAATATATCTTTTGTTACATATTTAAATAAATCTGGAGATAAATAAGCAGTAATAAACCATTTAATTTGTTCATTTTTAATAAGAGCAATATAACGTGCACATTGTTCTTTGAGAGAAAGTAAACCATTCCATTGTTTACCATTAAGTTCAAATCTTTTAATAGCACCACATAATGAATGACGATCACCTTGAATACCAATAGCTAATATTTCAGTTCTTGTTTGTTCTTTATAATTACGACCCATGAAAAATTCAATAATCTAGAATAATCAGATATGAAAAATTTTATTTAATGAAAATTTTCATTAGAATATAGTCGATGTGCAACGAAAGAAAATCATTATAGACTATATTAAAAAGAAAAGAAACTACTATTTATTGCAGTCGAATCAATACAAATTACTATTATCCGTCCAATATGTTGTAACGATGATTTTGTTATCTAGTCGTAAAGAAATGTTTTTTTCGTTATTTTATTCCTTTCGTTCTGTCTTATAACTTGCTTAATTCACTGTTACTAACAAATCGAAATCAAGTTGGTAACAACATGAAATAAAATAATCAAACTTCGATGTGTAGATTAACTTTCTTGTATTATTTCGTTGAATATACAACAAAGAGATAGAAATTAAAAGAACTAGAATTTTCATTGATCGAGTACTCTCGTATCAATTATTATATAGTTCTTTCTAATTGTTCATTCATGATCGATGTTCTATTTTCTATCTTCCTAATATAATCTAATATCTAGTAATGTATATGTTGTAATATAATATTGTCTGATTCGATTCGCTTTCTTTTTAGTATATATGCGTATTTTCACTATTAGAACAAAGCTAGTAAAATGTTTGTTGTCAGAATATGTTTTGATTAATTATGATTTTTTTATTAAATTATTTATCAAAAATTCTTGGTATTACTAGACAAGACAGAAAGAGGACCTCCACTACTATGATAGCTAATATGTATTGTTAGTTGATGATATCATATCATCATATATAGTTGTCTATTAACATTGATAAAATTTCCTAGATTGTAATAAAGCAGTCTATTTTTAAAATTTTTTAATGCTACGTTTTGTCAAACCATTGTATCCTTTGTTAACGACAAAATTTGATTATTTTAAAACTATATTCTAAACTCAAAATATAATTCTCTGTAAAAAAAAAAAAAAATTCTAATCTTCGAAAGAAAAACACTGACTGTAAATGTTTTATATTTATTATTTCAGGTAAGTGTGAGCAACCAAATATTGTTTATATTATTGTAATTCTTTTGAAAGATCAGAATCGTTTTGCCTCTTTAGAGCTATGTGTGACATAAATAATATTCATTTATACAAGATTTTTAAAACAGACTTTTTCTGTTGATTTATTTTAAAAGTACATTTTATGAGTGTTTCTATTGCTGGCAACTTCACTATAGCATTAATAAGAGTGTGAGTGCGAGCCTTGTTAACTGTTTTATCTTTATTGTAAACAACATACTTACACCCTTGTGGGTTCGAATCAATGTTCAAACTCTCGCTGAAACAACCATCACTCTGTTGCACATGATATTTGAGTGTTATATCATGATTCGTTATGGTATGTTGGTCCGATTTGGACACAAAGCAATGATTATTTTTTAAATATTTGGGAATAGAATAAACGCATTTATCTCTTCTACATAGTTAAGTTTTGACTCTTTTGATTTTTCAAAAGCATTGATAAATCTGAAAATGTTGCAGTTTAGATGCGTTGAAATGCATAGAAAATCTCAAAATAGTTACATGGATTGCTATTAAAGATTTATTGATTCAATAACCTGGGCATTCAATCGCTGCATGTGGGCTTTATCATGAGAAAAAATAATTATTAGGAAAAGTTTCAACAAAAATTTTCATGCAATGGGACTTATGCAGACAACGCTTATCATTGATTTAATTAACTAGTTAGTGGAAAGATTGTTCGGCAATAACTTATTTGTGAAACGAAACAAGACGCCAACAATTACATGGCTGGAATCGGGTACAATTACAAGATCAATTGACGGCACTAATTTGTGCAACAGGTTATGAAAATAATCTTGATATTGTAAGAAAACGATGTTTGAAATAATGATCGATCGAATCTATTTTGTTTGTAGACATACAAAAATGAAAACTGTGAAATAGCTGCTCGTTCATCGTCACGTTTAAGTCGATTTTCTAATAATTATCTAGTTCGTTGCTGCTGTTGTATCTCGTGTTTATGTATTATCTGTGGTCCTATTTATTGTTGTTTACGTTCTAGCGGCTCTGTTCGTCATAAAATCGCCGCTGATTACGAATTTCTGAAACCAGTCGATGATTTTCTTCAATCAAATACACATTTGATTATTGACGGCGTCAACAATCGTTCTGTTGGGACTTATATTGCAAATATTTGAAAATTTCATTGAAATATATTCAAGTGACGTATTTTGAAAAAAAAAACACGAAGAGAAAGACAAAAAAATCGTCAATACTCAAGAAGCGAATAGAAATACGCAATGATGAAACTATATGACTATGTCATCAGACTTACGTAAGACTTTGCACAAACTTTAAGGTCATTAAGACATTTATTTTGGATGGGTGCATGATGTGAATCTTGTCGGCACCCATCCCACAGCCACATTCCTACAATACAATTAAGTATAAAATACTATGGTCCAAGTGGAAGGACCCACTTGATCAGCGATCTTATTTGTTATTATGACTCGAAGTTAAACCAGTTTCGATGAAGTCCGAATATTAATGGCAAATATCTATATCAAAACAAGATTCATGAGACTTACCAGAAGATAGAGACAACAGGTGAAAATTTATGATAGTTCAGTAAATAAGAAACTTTTTTTTGTCACTATACTCAAGCTAGAATATCATACAATGATTTTGAGCGATTGGTTTTCTTCTGTTGTTTTGGATATGTTGTTGCATATTTCGACAATGCTCAGAGTAATAATTAATCTATTGAAATTTTTGTATCAGTCGAAAATGATTACAAAGTTAGAACCAGTGTATATCTGTTCATAACAAGATTGCTCGAAATAAAAATTACATTATTCCTATTTCCTCTTATGCTATTTTTTCAAGTGTGAAACAAGTCATAAAAACACTATGATATTTTTTGACTTGCAAATACCAATAATCTGAGGTCATTTCTGTGTTGAAACAGAGAATGTTCATTCATAAACTTAGCAGTTGCAAGAGCACTATTTTTTTGGTCTGAAAAAAAAAATAGAAATTCAAAATTTTTTTTTTATCGTTTTTATTCATATCATTTTGTGGTATTGCGCAACTCATACACAGACATATTTAGCTTGAAAAAGTTTTCAGCTGCGTATTGCTTGTTGTCTTTCTTTTCTGCTTCTTGCTGTCGACAGTCGTCTGATTTTAGCTCACGTGTCATATGTAAATCTTCGTCATTTTCCTCTTTCTCGTCGTCAATCTGTTGGTTGCTTTGTTTGTTGCCTATTCGATGGCGTAGTTCGATACCTAGTGCATCATCTTTGGCAGTTTGCATTTCGATCAAGGCCGTTCGTTGTGTGTCATTTCGAGCATATGGTTCTAAACCACGATAAAGCTTTTCGACAGTTCGTGTTACAAGTTTTTTGTTGATCACATTAGCAGCTTGTACATATTCAATTACTTTTTCAATAAACCAAAGCATTTCGCCATGAATATTGAGATTTGTTAGTGGTGGCAATTGCCCAAGTTCCTGTTTTAGATTAGCGAGTAATTGAGTATTGTTAGGATCATCATTAATATTCACCAAAGCTCGTTCGATGAGTGCTGAACCGGCTTCAAGATTGAATGCATTCAAAGTACGAGCTATTGCTTGAAGAAGACCTATTATATCTAATTGAATCGACATCTATAACTACTGTCTTAAGTGCACTCGTCGCTTTTTTTTTCTTTCCATTTATATCTATTATTGTTCTTTCGCAATATACATCGTAATGACGAAACAACATCGCAAGAATCACATGGTAATGATAATATTCGTTTATGATGAAGGCATATCAGTTTCGTTATCTTTATCTATAGAATGCAATGTGTGAGTCTTTCTTTCTTATTTTTATTTGTTTTTTTCGACGATTAAAAAAAAATTAGAAGCAGCGTTTTTCGTTCCTTATCATTGTATTCATTCTGTCAACATTTGAGTTTATTGAAAGCATAGCAGAAAAATTATGTTTTTATTGTTCTCAAGATTCAGAAACTAGTGTTCAGAAGACGAATATAACTGAAGGTTTCCTGCATTTTCATCCATGCTTTGTTTAAAGATCAGCTTGCCCTAAAAAGCATTGCTTATTTGCGCACACGATCTAATATGATCCCGAACTATTGAAGTCTTTGAATAAATTTAAGCTCACTATCGATTGTCGATACGAGTGTGCAAAATGTGAGAACTCACGAGTAATAGCAGTATGAAACCCACAAATTTTGTAAGAATCTTCAATCAATTAGTATGATCATTCTGTCACTAATTAGAAGACAATTCTAGCGCTATGTTATGATGTAATGATCTAAAGTAATCGTTTTATCATTACTTCAAATTGTTGTTTCATTTACTCAGAAACCTATCGATTAACGATAAATATCTCTAAATTAGTGACCAAAATAAGATGTTTCTATTTCAAAACAGTCCCCGAGATGAATAAGAATGCATTATTAAAAATATTCATGATGTCACAGCTCATGAAAAGTTCGACTATCTCAGTTGATTTAGACGGTGAGGTGTGATATGGATTGTGAGTGAGGGTTAAAAGAAGCAGACTACCGGTATCTTTACACTCACCCTTACAATTTTATTGAGTGGTTGATGAAAAAACTGAAAATGAATTTAGAGAGAATGTACGCGGTACATGTTTTTTTTTCTATCGTTTCTTAAATATCTTCTAAAAATTTCCCAATCATATGATGCAAAATGTCTGTTAAATATACATATCCAAAAGTCTAACGCTGACTATGTAAGGCTCTCTATAGAAACATACTTCGAAATAAAAACAAAGACATCCATGTTGTATATAAATCGATAATGCACAATGAAATTTATTTATTTCATAACACGTGAATCGTTTGAGTTTAATTAGTAACCCTCAAAACCTAAACATCTTTGTAGTAACTTCACAGACTTTGTGAAATAGTTTTTAATAGTTGAATATATTTCAAATTTCATTTGACAAAAAATAATATTTTCACAACATGCATTGTTATTTAGACAAAGCACACATCTTTATTGAATAAAATCATTCTTATTAGAAAATTTCCAAACTCGAATTTCAACTTGTTTTTTCTTTTTCATTCGGTATATTTTTAACATGAAGAATTCCATCAAAATCTCAGCTCAATTGATGGGCACTTTTTTATTATTTTTGCCTATCTAAAGAAAATTTTGTATACAACCTGAAGTATGAGCGTGGGTGTGAGCATCAGTGTGAGATGTGCAATGTGAGCGCTGTGCGGCATATATGTGGATATGGGTGATATGTTTCTCCACACCTACATCTAGCTCGAACAGACCTTTGTGCTTGTTGATTTCTATCTCACCAATAGAATGATCAATTATTTGAATGAATTGTGTAGGATTTATCGTTTGTGTAAATGAGAGAAATATTCATCGTTGAATGATAATTATTAGTAGTTAACATGATACCAAATGTGGCAAATATGTTAGTTGCTGCTTAAAAACGCTTGATGCTCAGTAATGAACTCGATGCAAAAGTAATATGGTGAAGAGAAATCAACAATTGAAAGTCGTTTATGATAGTGAAACAATTTCAGTAAATGTATAGCCAATCTCTGACAACTTGTAAACACTATGACTCTGGACAGGAACTAGTCACCATGAACTATTTTAGATTTGATGGTTGATCGAATAATCATTAGATGAGCAGAAAGAAACTGTAAGAAATCCATAGAATTACATATCTATTTGGAGTAAATTTCAAAATGATCTTGACTTATGCTTGCCTCATACGATAGATAAATGATTGCCAAGTGACATTCTCCAAGAACAATATCACCAATGTCGAACTCATCAATTTATTTTCAAGAAACCTGCTTTTTTTATTCTCTTATTTGATTTCGAATCAATATGCTTTTATTGAAAAAGAGTTCAACACGATACACAAACATACGAATGATTCTTCTTTGTGTCTACTCGATTCATCAGTTCGATAGATTTACGCGCAAGTTTCCTCGGAAAAGACAACATATTGAAATCAAACTGTGAACATTCACTCATGTGATTTTATCACACAGTTATCATAAATTCATGTTGAGTTTCATAGTTGAGGGCCACCGAATTGATGAATAAATAGAGACAAAGAGGATACGAGGGAAAAGAAAGCAGACGATGAATGAGAATCGAATGAACGAACATCTAGACAACGGGATGACGGGATTGACAAAAATTGTCAATCCATTGATTGAGTTCATTGATGTGATAGCTGAAGGTATCCTTGTCTGGTTCCGCTTTCAAGACAAGTATTCCATTGTGAATAACATAGAAACGAAATGGCCATGATCCATAGGTAAGATGGAAAGTGTTATCCATACTATCTACAAGCATGGGCATTTCAAATTTACAATCCTTGTGACATTGCTTAGCGTTCTCAAGGCGTTCTTCGAGTGTAGTTGGTTGATTGACACATGATATGATTTTGCCCATTGGCCATTGATCACGTGCATGCGCTTCGGCAATATAAATCACCAAGAAGCGCAGGTCATCGGACGCATGCGAGCGAAATAGCGCGCTAAATCAGGTGAATAATAATAAGTATACAGTTAGATCATATCAAAAATATCTACTTAATTCGCTCGGCAGACGCCCGAAATGGAGGTCAGCTTGCTGAGCCGGCCAAAATAATTAATGGTTGGTAAGCTGTGATTTGTGAGAATAGATTCGTAGGCTGACCTTCGGTGGTATACAAATCGACGTCACGTGCACATTGTCCTTGATTGATTAGACCTTGTGTGACTTTGTTGTGCTTAACTAGAAGTGAAGGAGAAAAGTATTTAGCTGTAGCATGTAAAAATTTCTCTATTCAAGATTGAGATGTTCATTTGATATGACATCTCTATTGACTTCATGAATAGCGACGAAAAACCATTGATTTTTGCTCGAAAAATGTATCTATGCAAAGCATGCTAATTTCAGACTGACAGAATTTCTTTTTTACTTCTCTTTTTTTCTGTAACTTACCATAATAAGCTGATTTCACTGCGGGATCGTCTGGAAAGCGATGCAAAGCGGTACGCAATGCATTGACATCATGATATCCAAAATGTTCTACAACATGTTGTTGAATAAGATCGAGCACGCGTCTTCAAGTTCATAAGAAAGATTAGTTTAGAGCATGGGCATAAGTACAAAAGTAAAGCTTACCTTAGTGCAGCCTCATCTTTGTGATAAAAGTCCATGAGCTCTTGAATCGACTCGGATAATCGAATACTTGTTTCATAAGCAATCATCTCGCGTATGGTCTCGATGGGGGGCAATTCATTCGACGCTTTGATTGTATCGAAGCCCATACGGCCTGATGTAGGAAAAAACATCAGGCATCTATATGGTGAACGATCAGATCCAAAGCTAAAAGGCGAGTTGTCTGAATCATCATCTTTCTTTGGCTTTCTAAAGAGAAAAGAGTTTGGCTGGTGTTGTTTTTCAGCAATCGGCGGAGGTTTTTTTTGAGCTGCAATCGCCTCTGCCGTCTTCTGTTCAATGTTGGTCTGTGCTTGAATCGTGGCATCCTGTTTATCCTGCTGTGGCACATTCTGATTGCCGTTCGACGACGTTTTACTGCTGGCCATTTAGGCAGCTTGTTTTTATGAATTTGTGAAGCAAACGTATGAAACACTACATTTTATATAAGCGTTTGTGAAGCGTCATAAGCAAACAATGCACGACGAAGATGGGGTAAAAACAGTCATGCGCAATTTCACCATCACTTTGAAATAGTCGTCATATTTACATTAAGGGTGCGATAAGAAGCAAGTAATGCGGTAGTGACTCAATGGTGCATAGTTTGATGCTGTTTCACAGAATACATTTAATGATTCACTTTTTTATTCTTCAAATCATATATTGTTTGTTTTTTCGCACACAATGTCTGATGCTTAAAAAATTTCGATTCACATATGACATTTAGTAGCATGTGTACAACATTTATTCCAAGGTTTATGTATCAATCAACAAAAAAGAGATTCAAATTGTTCATATTCAGTACAATTTGACTGTCCATAATCGTACCTGAATATGAAGCACATCATTTATTAAAGAATCAACACTTATATTCGATTTTAATACACATCGTTTGATAGTGATTCATAAAGTGGTGTAGGTGTGACTAGTTCGATCTTTCTATTCATTGAATGCGGAGTCACCGAATCAAAGCCAAGCAAACTCATATACCAGTGGCTACATCCTCAAGATACTTATTTTCATCAGAGCATTTCAATTTTTTTTTTAAAGAAACGTGTTGTTTAGAGCAAAGATACCAGAAATCATGAAACATCTTGATAAAAAAAGGGACTGTTAATTAACTAATCATATTGCTTGCAACAGGTCAGATTTCAGGTTGTTCTAGTGTGCGTCTATCACAGCTTTGACTTTTTGACAAAAACGAACCTTTTTCGAGTCGGGATGGGGCGTTTGGATGTCATTCTTAGTATTTTCTTCTTTTGCACTCACAGTGACAGGCGCACCTACAAACACAGCGAACACGGGCATAGATTTCTTACGCCCATCGACACTCACATCCACGCCCTATCTCTATTGCGTCTGTCTAGGTTAGAATGAGAAGAGTATCAATCCACGTTAAGAATGTGTCTATTTGTCGACATAAGCATATCATAAAAAATGTCGATCAAAAGTTTACTTTGTCATAAAAAGAACATATTAGTATTATTTTTATTTGCTATAATTATTGATATTTTTCTCGCCCTTAGTACGATATATATACGACGAATAAACTATATTCTTTTTGGAATTATAGATCTATATATTTTCAGCTATGTTATCGATGTTGATGCGGAATGACCAATTCGATCACTATGTTGAGAACTAAACTCTTCAGCTTTATCTCTCACGATTTCGATTAAATGACGGTTTTTGATGAATAAGATGATATATATACTCCCGACCATTAGCGGCATTATGTTTCTTCACTATTTTTTCACTTGATGAATATATATCATACATACTGAGAATATCTTCGTCAAATGGTACTACCCGTTAGATTTTTCCTATCATAATATCTTCATCAATAAGATTTGTTTGTAACTTTATTCAGTCAACCAGATTTCATTTACGATATCCATATAGAGTATCCCATTTGTGCATCAGTGGTTTTAACGTATCAAAGTGCAAGAAGAAATAAGAATAGATGATTCAATATTTTTCCTTTCGACAAGAAAAATCAACTAAGCAGATAAACATGAGGATATGAATACAAAGCGATTATTATTATTTTTTTGTCTTCAGTAAAGAATAACTGAAATAAGATTTTTTTTTAATGATAGATCTTTTCCTGTTTTCATTGAAAATGTGCTCTACTATTGACATTTACCTTTGTTAACATTATGTACAAATATTGCTCGAAGTTATTTTTCGGTTTAGATCATTGTAATGATGTTAATGCAATTGAAATTACTCTTGATTGAAGCATTATTTTCAGGCTTCTCCACCGAAACTAAATTAAAATCAGCCTTCGAGGAATTTTTTTTAATACACTAAGTTTCCATTATTGAGATTTTCTTCAACTGATCAATATTTGTTCATTTAAATAATATGTCGATCATGAAATACTAGTTCTTATGAGAATAGTTTGTGGCTCTATGATATACAAAACCAAACAAAAAAATTAATTACAACAAATCTTCATAAATGAATCAAATCACAATAGTCACTAAGTGATAACTATATCACATTACTACCAAAAACCATTCATCAGTAACTAAAAATCGACGGTTTTCGAAATAACCATCAATCAAAACAATTTATATATTTATATTTTCTCATATCCGATGAACTATTACCAATTCAAATTGAAAAATATTTTTTTTTTGGTTCCTACATGATCTAACAAGGATGCATTTCTATATATAGCTAGCACTAATTTGTGGCCAATAAATGGAGAAAATGGTTTTTATAAAGATGAATGGAAAGATGTTATTCAATATCGACAAAATTTAATGCTATTTGAAATGTATTCTCTCTCATTGATCAATTATAATATGTCGTATTTTAAGAATAACACATCTTCTTGTCCGTATCTATGGTTGTGAAAAATATAAATGATTTTGAAATATATTTGATTGATCTTCGAAATACATCTAAACTTTCAAAACTGACAAATAATGAAGCTATTGAAATAGAATTACAGTTGTCAATTGAGGGTCAGTATATACTATTCCGAACATTCAATCTTAGTTCGTACTAAGGAAAATTTAACGATTTACAGTTTCATCTTTATTAATTAAACTTAATAAATGGACAAATACCACGTTCAGGAGAAAAATTTCTTAGTAATATCAGTAGATACACAATCAAGCCTTATTCTGGTGTTTATATACTTAGACAATTGGAAATAGAAGTACAAATTTATACACAACGGTTACCAACAAAAGACTTAATTCATCATAATGGATTGATTGCATTTGTTTATTGATCATTCGCAAAAAACAATGGAAGTTTATTTCATTAACAATATTAATCAATTGGAATAATTCTTATTCATTGTAATTCATATTCGCCTAGTCTAAATGCACTTGATCTAGTTTGGTATAATTGGGCTTTATTGGCAGCTTAAGAAAGTTGGTTAGTGTTACAATTTAACTATCGAGGATCAATTTCTCAATGAAATCCATTGTAGACCTTTATCTCGACCAGAAAAAGATATTCGTCATGAAATTAACCTATTGATTAAAGATGGATTTATTGATTCACATTGATTTACGGTCGATGGTTATAGTTACGGTGGTATTTTAACAAATTGTTTGATTACACAGACTAAATGTTTTAATGTTGCTCGGTTTGATGCTGCCGTTGCTATTCATTCTTCAATATGAGGTATGATAGATATATCCGTACTGATCCGCTACTTGTTTGAAGAATTTTCATGAAACGTATCACATACTTATCAAAATGAAACACCAATCTATCAGTTAGATAGAATACGTGCACCTATACACATTGTTACTGGTGAAAATGATATTCGAGTTCTTAAAAGTCAAAGCTCCATATTAGAAGAAGGACTTCAATATCTTGGCATATCAGTAAAATTAATCGCCTTCCTGAAGAAAGGATAACCACTGAATTATGGATGTGGATGTGTCTACTGATATAAATGAAAATAAGACTAACACCCACACTCACATCCATCTGTTGATCTATGATCATGACAACATCTAATGCATTTTGATGTGCTCAAGCATTCATGATTTTTAATATCGGTGCCGCTTTTCTCGTAGGTTTTACAGGTATTTTCATCTCTATGCGGACAATTTTATTGAAAATGAATAATTTCATAGTAGTTTTCACAAATCAGTACTTGCACTAGAGTGAAATATTACACCACCCGATATTTTATATAACCGATCGACATGTCTTTTTTTCGTAACAGGTTATTTTGAGCTTTAGCACAAGCGAATTGCACCTCTACGGTACGAACGAGATGCTGAGAACGATTCTTGAGGCGGACCACATCGACTACTTTCGGATATTGTTCTTTCATACCTTGAACGAACTCTTCTCAGTCGGCATATCGATGAGTAAATTAGTTTGAATCATTAGTTAAGAAACAAAAGAAGAATCCATATTAACAACGATAACTAGAATACAATCATCCATTTCTTCTGGTTTATGACGATAAATAGCAATCTTTGACTTTTTTGATTTATAACATCGAGTTCCTTGATGTTGAGGAAGTTGTTGATTGATACTTTTATCACAAGATCTAATTACATCGTCAGTTTGTCTATTACAGACTTACACCATCTGATCACTCATAATAGTTAGTGCAGGAGTAGATGTCACCATCGGTCGACTCATCAACATTGAAGGAGAGCAAACCTTAATTGATGGTATGTAATGAGAAAGCATTGAAGCTTGTTGTTGGTATATGACTTGCTGCATTTTTTGATTTGAAGTAACATATTGTTATTGATGATGAAGTAATTGTTGTCCAACACTTGATGCAAAAACTTGATTAGGAGATATTTGACGTGTTTGCTCAATGAATTGACCATTATTATTATACTAATGTTGTATTAACACTTGATCCTTCGAATAACTCTCAATCTTGAGAAAGGCAACAAACATTGTTCAGAGAAATTGTTAGAATAACCACTTAGACTCTCAACTAGAAAACCTATGACTCCTAAATAATTAATTCTAAACATGTGAAGCTTGTGCAGTTTGCATGCATATCTAACGATTGAATATTTACTGTAAAGACCTTACAGGTTAAGTTTATTTTCAAAGAGGTCGATTGAAACCTTTATATACAAAAACCAGGTCCAAAAAGCTTATAATATAGGATTCAATGCGTCGTCATCTTCTTTTTGTTTTTAAATAGAGATTAGTATAACCATCACATGTCATAGAAAAACAGCTTGTATCAAAATTTTATTATTATGATATTAGTTGAAGAATGATCAAGCATCATAGAAAAATACAGCATTGTTTTTACTATTATTGCATATAAAGAGAAATTTTTTGTTTTAAGTTTTCTATAGGTAAATAAAGTATCTCCGTTATTCCTCTTGGATAGTCTTAAGTAAATACAAATGGGATGACATATAAACAATGTATCGAAGAAATATATATTGAAATCTTACATAAAACTTTTGCTAGATTCATTTCTTAGATAATTTATTTTTGATTTTTCTAATTGAAAATTGCTTTTATGTTTTTATTTATTTTATTTAAAAAATGAAAAAGAAATCATTGTTTATTTTATTTTCAATTAATTTTAGGTTATCTTGATAAAATTTGATTATTATTATATAATTCTTTACTTCAATTGATTTAAATAAAAAATGATAAATGTCAATTTATTGATAATAATCTTTTAATATTTAATTACTTTCATAAAATAAATCAATGAAATAATCAATTCTTATTTTCTTTGAATAAATTCATAATTAAGTCTATTAAACAAAATTCTTTGTATATTATTTCGAATTTATTAGAACATGAAGAAAAAAAAAACACATCTTGAAAATGTTATGTTAGATTTCATAGTAAAAATACTTTATTATCAATTGGATGAATCATTACTATGATTCTAGTTCTTAATCATATCATCGATAAGACAAAATTGTTTTCTCCACATAACTAGCAAAACTAATAAGAACATGTCATTTAATTATCATTATTTTTCTATATTAACAAATTTTATAGTAGTATTCGATTTTTAGAAATCAGCAAAAAAATTTATTTTATTTAAATCATAAGAAAATCAACTATAAAAAAAATTAATAAATAAATCAACGAAAAAAAAAAATATGCACTGTTTTTTATTAATATGTAGTTATGTATACAAAAAAAGAAATATACGATAGATATTATAATATCACATATTTATAAAAAGAAAAAAACGAAATATTAGATTAGTTTGATCGTTTTTCAATTCGTATGTAAATAGCTTCTGGTGATAAAGTTGTAGTTTCTTGTCTTTTCATTCCTTGTTCAAGTTTCTCACCAGGTAAAATTGTATATCTATGTAATATATTTGCTAAAGCAATTTTTAATTCCATTAATGCAAATTTCATTCCAACACAATTTCGTGGTCCAATACCAAATGGCATATAAGCTAGTGGATGTCGTTTTATCATATGACGTTCAGGAATAAATTCTTTTGGATCTTCAGGTCCCCATAAATCAATATTATGATGAATTGAATATGTATCCGCTTGAATAACACTACCTATTCAAGCAAAAATTCTATTATAAATATATTTTACATAAAAAAAACTTCAAAATAAAATAAATAGGTTTAAATTTGAACGAACTAATTCAAGTTTATGTTTAAGAATAATATCAATTTTGTCCTATTGACTTTTGCAGTGAACTTTCGACAATCAGCAAAAGTCAGTACATTGAGTTTTCTGTTTTCTATGTTTTACCTTTTTCAATGTAATGTCCAGAAATAATTGTTGATTGAGAACATTCTCGACTAAAAACTCTATGTGTAACAGCATGTATTCGAAGAACTTCTCGTATAAACATATCCAAATATTTCATATCATTAATTATATCATAATCAATTTCTTCTTCGTCTTTCCAATGTTCATCAATTTCTGTTTGTAGTTTAGTTTGAATATTTGGATGTATAGCTAATTGATATGTTGAATAAGCAAGATTAAGTGATGTTGTTTCAAAACCAGCATTTAAAAATAATACTGCATTCATTAATATTTCTTTATAATGCAGATTTTTTGACATTAATTCATTATTTTTATCATCCTAAAAGAAATTTATTTATATTTAATAATAGAATAAATCTAATAATTAACTTTAATTTCTTCTTGTGTAGATGCATCTAACATTAATTGAAGTAAATCTATTCTTTTATTTTGAGATGTTTGTCTTTGTTTGACAACATTTTCAATTTGTTTAAAAATCCATAATTGAGGAAGACCTTCAACATTACGCATCATTGATGGCATTAATATACGTAGAAAGTTTATGATTACAACAGAACTATTCATAATTTTAATTGATAATGGAATAAGAAATGGCATTAATTTACATAATCTCACAATGAACATTTTTTCTGGATCATGAGCAAAACAGGCTAGTGATTTTTTCATATACATATTATCAATATCATTTTGTAGATCAGTATCAATACCAAATGCACAATGCCCTACAATTAATTCATACTTTTTTTTGATAATGGTGACTAGAGCATTGAAAACACAATTTCTTTTGTGACCTTTTATATAAACGATGAGAATCGTGTGATCCAATGCTATATAGATTTACATTGTTAAATGGAAACAATAAAACTTTTTTATTCCTCTACCTATTACTTACGAGACGAATTATAGTATTATAATGAATATTTATTCATAGGAAATCTTATTTATAACTAATTTGTAAGAAAATCTTTAATAAAAATCGTGATTTTAGTCGATTACATCATTTTAATTCTTCGTAATATGAAATCGAGAATTTATATCTTCAATCTAGAAAAATGCCTGCATTACACAATTTTATCATAATATATGAAGCTCTTCCTATAGGATTCAATTGGATTCTCTCTTAAACAAGAAAAAAAAACAATGAACGACAATGCTTCAAATTTTCAAAAGACTTAGTAAGATTTCAAGTACCATTGATCTGCTGTTTCTCTTTTCGTGGGATGCACGTCTTATTTAAAACAAAAGAATCATATCCAAAATAGATGATAGCGTAAATGACATTTGTTTACTTACAAATAACATCCATAGTCAATCGTTTATATAAAAGAAATATATTAAATTCATTATCATTATTTTCATCTATTTTTTTCATTATTGATCGAATACATTTATTCATAAGTGGTGTCATCATTTTCAATTTAGCTGTTGTAAATGTTGGATTAATAATATGTCGTTGACGTCGCCATTGATTAGCATGTGAAGAAAATAAACTAGCTGCATTACTTTTAAGCATCCGAACCAAAATGTTATTATGACGTGAATGAAACATTGAAAATTGTTTGATAAATACTTCTTGTAAGAAATTAACATCTGATACGACATATGTTGGACACGTTCCTTCGAAAATTCCATAAATAGGACCATATTGTTGAGTCCATTTTTGAATTTGACTATCAAAGGAAGGTGTACTCCACATACTCAAATAATGACCAAAGAAAAACTTAGGTCGTGGACCAGGAATATTTCGTCGGACAAAATATTCATAACGTGATTTTAAAGTCCAAACATAATAAAAGAAAATGTTAATCAAAGCTGCTAACAATATAATCGTAATAAACATGCTTTTCTATTGTTTTAAGCACACACTCAGATAATATTGAGTTAAGAGAAAGACGATATGCTTATACTAGTCACCTACGAACATTCAGATAACTATATGTCTATGCAGAAAAAAAGATAACCTTTTTTTTCTTTTTCTCTGCGTGTCACATTACATATAAGATAATATATTTATAGATCCAAGGCGTACTTTCGTACTTATAGTACATTAAAGTATGAAAGTAGTTCGAATTACTTCTAGGTAGTTCAAAATGTATTAGAGTACGTTAAAAGTATATCAAAATAATCTGACATACATACAATACTTAAAATATGACAAAATATCCTAAAATACAATTAAATCTTCGAAATTAAACTCGAAAAGCTGAAAGATTCATGCCGTATAAATCGCTCGAAACACATCTGTTAATTTCGGTTAATCATCTTCGCGTAAGCTATGATCAGTTTCAGCAGAAGCTTTACGCCATCGATTTCACCAAATGGGTGATATTTTTATAGTAGATATATACATCTGAGTTAAAGATAAACCGAAAGTTTCAGTCCAAACAGATCAGTCATTCTGAAAATATGTACGGTACCTAGAAACGAACTAAACAAAGAAAAACTCGAATATCTTGACTGTATTTCAACCAAATGAACTGCTTGTTTTTCTGAGGTTAGAAGACGATTCCAAGTTTTCAATAGTACATTGTCATCCAAGCAAGAGCTATCAAAGTACTCCCAGATATTTGATCGATCAGAGGCAAACAAAGAGAGAATTTAGCTATGATAAAAATACAAGCAAACAGACTTGTGCTAATGACAGTTAGAATATAGAGTACGATGTTTGGAATACGAATCAAGAAAATCTCAGCAAGTACCAAAAGTGGAGAGGAAAATTGGCAGGCAATGATTATTTTGTGATAGACGTTGATAGAGTATAGACACAGAGAGAACGCTAAATTGATACAAGTCAAATCTGGCAATAAAAGCAGCCGGTTTGTTTACTTTGTAGACTTGGTGAAGCACCTAGATGAGAAAAAAAGAAAAAATAATTTAAATTATTTTTGTTTAACAACTTATTCTCAGTACTGGAAACTAATAATGGTTTAGTAGTTTACAAAAGGTTTGAAAAATTGAGAAAATCTATATCGATTAAGCATTAATGAAAAACAGTATTTACAATTAATATATTTTATCAAATTATTTTTAATCCGTTTTTTTTTATTTGACTGAAATCTTCAAAACTGTTCAGTCAGTTTGTGTGCTCAGAGCTGATATGAAAGTGTTTCAATGCTATTAAGCATACCGATAAAAGTCAATATTTTGAAAGTGTCAATCAACATTTATGTTTTCAAAACAAGTGTAAAATATCTAGGCAAATAATCTATGTAAATGTGTGAATGATACTCAGATCATGCAGAATAACTGATTATTCCAAACACAGACGCATTTCATTTAAAATAATGCGTATATTTACATGAAAAGTACTTTTTCGGGCACGATTCTATTATCGACATGCACATAATAAATGAAAATGAAACAAATTCTCGTGCGTGTCCTACTGCTTAATATGTTTTTTTTTTTTATTAAAATTTGAAAAAAAGAATAAACTTGACATAATGAAGAACAAGCGTCAAGAAAAACCAACAAAACAAATCATCATAATTTTTATTTTTTTTTCACTCGATTGGAATACATTCATACATGTTAGCAGAGAATATTCCATGTCTCTGTATTAAAGAAATGATGCATGGTTGTAAAACCGCCCGCTTCTTCATATCGTTGTGTCATACATGTCGGAAATGGTTCCTGGGATGACTAATAGAAAATGAAAACGCGAATATGATGAGAATTAAACGTGCAATGAAAATTTCGAATATAACTCACGGTGATAGCTGTGATTGGTGGAAATTCAGTTCGTTTGGTATATTCAAATTTGCCAATAACAATTCAACCGAAACCTGTCAGTTTGTCTTTGTTATACAAGAGAAAAGCTGGAAAAAATTCATCACAATTTTCAGTCTAGTCGATTATCAAACCAATAATGAACACCTAATATCAATATCGAATAAGTATCATAAGTTTACTTTTTCTATTATCAAACATACCCATCGTTGGCAAACATGTACCTTTGATCCATTTTGTATTGTTCACCATATTTTCATATAATGGCATTTCAATTGAATCACGAATTGGATTGCTGCCATTTTGTAGCCATAGTCCAGTTCCTGTACCTTCATGTTTGAGATGAGATGCATCCCGACCTGATTGACAAATGGTGCGTGGATCAACAAAATATGCAGTGAGAACGTAAATATCAATGCCGACAATTGTATCTCGAGTAAACATTTTCTGGATTGAATACTTGTAATACTTGTCAGTAATCATTGATGCAGGAATCTTTTTTTTTTTTTATTGTAGATTACATTTCATAGAGAATAGTGAAGAAAAAAAAAGACACAAAAACTTACTCCCATTTGCACACCGGCAATAGTACCTTGTTTATCGTAGATTAAAATTACACCATAATCATTAACTTTCATAAAACGCTGTCCAAGAAATGTGCCTATGATTAAATACTGATACAAAGAAAAATAAAAGATCCCAATTTTACTAATCACCTTCACATTGACCTGCAATCTGTATGTAATTATTCTCTTTAGCTTCGGTAATAGTTCGTGGTTGTTTAACAAAATATTCCGGATCGAACGGATTCGGACCCCATGTAACTTTCAAGGAATCCTATTCGGATCCTGAATCATTAACTTTTAGCAACAATGCATAAGCTTAAAACAAATAACTTCATGTCATTTAATTAATACTATATAGTGTTACTGACGTGCGGTAATGCATACTATCACAACGACGATCAAATACTTCATCACATAGATATTATTTTTTCAATTTACTACTATCTTCTTGCAAAAAGGAGCCATTTTTTTTTCTATCTTGGTATCTTGTCTTTTAAAAATATAATCCGTCCGGCAACATTTGACTTTAATCTCTCCAAAGCACAAAGTGTTTTTCGATATTCAATTCACCTTGGTATTTTAGACGACTAAACAATAAAGATCGACGAAATAGTAAAAAAAAACCGTGTTCCATTCGATGTGACAGTATCAGAAGATTATCGAAATGCGAATTGCATCCGATTGCAATGCTCTGTACTAGATTTTTTGCATCGAATTCTCACAAGAAATCAAGTGAAAGAGGACTAAAACAAAGCAATCTTGATTGAAGCGCTAAAATGTTGTGTGAAAAGTAAAAAATGCTACCTAGCTTAATTCAGCCAATTGTATCCGCTCTTACAAAAACGATAAAACATGCCTATGTTTAATACAATAGACCATTTCATCGAGAAATCGACATAACATGGGTAAGAACTCTTGCATGAAGGAGGCGATGCAAATATGGACGACGTATTCAATCGATATCACGGATTTCAACGAAATTTCGTTCCCATTTAGCTCCAAGTGAGATGTGAAAACGTTAAAGATTAGAGCTTCTAAAATCATTCCCCCGTTAAAAAGTTTAAGCTAGAAGAGAGACGCTCTCACGTAAAAAATGAGGATAACCAATGCAGTACTCATGTACTGAAAATTTCACAATTATTCAATAATAGTGTTTCTAGTGATGAAATTTTGTGGAAATATAGGTTAGTCCATTCGCTAGCGACATGACTTCGCAAAATTAAAACACATATATCTCTATATATGGAGCTTTTCTAGAGCTGATTTATATATTTAATATTTATGCTAAATAACTCTAAATACTCTGAAAAAATCAATCCTGTAAGCCTTTGTTAAGGGAAGTTATTGATAAAAAACTAGAGTTAGCGACGTAACACAATACGAATAGAATGAATTGTTATCTATAATTCTTCACTCATTCACCCGAAACCCGAGACTTCCATTCTTCGAGGGATGCTTTCTACGCGAAGTTCTTTTCAAGAAAAAATAGGACATCGTGAAGAGAATCGGAGAGAAAAGACGAAACATTTCTCTAAAAAAATGAGATATTCTTTCATATCGTATTCTTTTTCACTCACATAGTGTTTCTTTTTGGATTTACATATAATATTTTTTACTAATAAAAAACGCGGTTAGAAAATTCTTCAGAAGTATTCCACAATAGAGATTATGAAGCAAGGGTTGAATGAAACTAGTATTGACCTTCCCTCAGGAGAGGGTCACTAGAAAAGTAACAAAAAAACTATATTTTGAGAAACTGTGTTATGTTTTATATATATACACGAATTAGTATTATTCTACTTTTGTTTTACTTAATCAATGGTTCTTTAAACAGTTAATAACAAAAGAATACAATACTTGACTAGTGGAATATGAAGTTTTCGTTGTTCCAAGTTTCGTTTTGAGATATCATCATCTTTCTCTCAACAATCCCGTGAAGGATATAGAGAAACCTTCTGTAATATAGCTATAGCATAGTTAAACTAAAACAAGAGATATATTTTTTCATAGTTTCGGATAAAATATATTTTTTATCTGTTAACTTGGCACATGGTTTAATGTCCACAATATAACGTGATAATCTTTAATCGACTGAATTTTTTAATGTATATGAAACAGATCAAATTTTATCCCATCGTTATCGCATTGTACGAAATCATTTGCATTACGAATAACACATTGTTTTGCCACAACACCTTTCCATGCTACCGTTTTCACCCTCATGTCTACCTAAATAGAGTGTGGTTATGACTGTCGAAGAATCATAAGAAGACTAAGATCAACACCCACACCCTCTCACTTGCTTCGATACTCATTATATGAGTCAACTTTTGACACAAAAGATTATAATATTACTTTTTCTTCATGAAACAACGAAGGTTCTGTGAGTACCATGGTTATCTCTGAAAACGAACAGAAAATCCGATAATAAAATGATAGAAATCCGAAGTACGAATGTAATTCAAAGAAGTCAGAAAGTACAGAACCTTTGGTTTCCTTATAAAATTGGAGCCTACTCTACAATATTTTGTATGCCAGCAAATTCTCAAACCTTCCTTAAGCAATTATTTTGTATGAAGAAAATGAAACTATATTTGTAGTCCCGCATGGGAATAAAATAGCAATAAAAATTATTCTGTTTAGAATAACCAAATGTTTTTTTTATTTATCACGATTTATTTGTTTTCAAAAGAAAAAGAAATAGTCCTCTTAATGAGTCTATTCGATAGAAAATCGTTGCACCCGAAAATTCTTCTTATCAACGACATAGAGATTGCCATATCGATCGAAAGACAAACTCGTTGGCTCACGTAACTGATGTGCTTCTTCTCCTTCACCATAGCCACCCGCAATGACAGTACCTTGTTTGGCTCCTTTAGACCAACGCATCACTCGAGCATTGCCCATATCTGCTACATAGATGGTACCCAATGTATCGACAAACAGTCCTTGAGGACTCGACAATTGTGCCGAAGGATCTTCTTTGTCTTGACGGCCAGCAACGACGATGCCTTCTGTTGCATCTTTATTCCATTTAATTACACAATGATTTTCGTCATCCGACAAGTAGACAGCCTGGTTTTGATCGACAAAGATGTAAGCCACATGACCCAATTGATGAATACCAAAACCTTTGACATAGCCACCCGCCACGACAATTCCATTTTTGTCTCCTATTCGATATCGTCTTACTTCATTTTTGTCGGTGTCAGCGATGTAGAGATATCTTTGATCATCTATGGCCAATGTTGAACAACGGATATCTTTGAGAAGAATTTCTCCTTGAGTTGTACCACTACGACGAGACCAACGTAGGACACGTCGATTTCCTTCATCACTGATAATGAGACTACTAGTCTCTCTATCGATCAAGACATTGGTTGGAGCACACAATTGATCCAATCGATCTCCTGAGCCCCGGCCACCAGCTACCACTTTTCCTTTGACATCATCCACTTTCCATTGAACAATGCGATCATGGTAAGTATCAGCGATGACCAAAGTTTGATCATCATCCACAGACAGACCGAAAGCGGAACCGAATTGATAGTCGATATCGTCCAGTTCATGGCCTACACTAGCTACAGTAATTCCATTTTTTGCCCATCGGGCATTGTTTGGAATATTGGGAATCACTACAATGAACGAAAAAGAAAATGAAATCATCTTCATTCTGAAAGAACCTTCTTTCTCTCGTAGGAAAGAAATATGAACCGGATCTTCTTCCTCAAGAAAACTTGGAATAACTTTCGAGAATGTTTTTCCGTAATATACTGTAACCTATAAAAGGATCTTCCAAGAAACTTGAAAAAGCTCATCTAGCAGACATAAATTCAGAAACCTTTATTAGATAGTTTTCTGCGAGAAAGAAGCTTTTTGAAAATTGAAACGCATTCGAAATCTATCTTTAAAACTTTTATTCCACCCTACTCACATAGGTTTCAGAAAAGAAAAGTGCATGCTGTTCTTGGCGCAGAAGAAAAGCCTAATTTTCATGCTGTATTCAAAAGTTCTATCTTTTCTTTAGTACTGCTGAGGAAGATCTTTGAGAGTTGAAACTAACTCGCCTTCTATTTGAAATAAAAAAGACAAAAGAATTTTTTTATGAAGCATGTTCAATAGTAGCGTTATATGCATCTGTTCGGCGATCATGACGTTTGGATCGTCTGATAGATCCTAAGAATGAGAACTTAGTCTAGATTCTTAGTTATACCAGCGTAACACCTGACAATCACTCTACAGAAGAATATGAGGACTTGATTAGAAACTTCCGTGATAGTTTCCTAAAAATTTATCAAACTTCAAACTGAAGGTTTTCTTTGTAATTTTGAAAGCAAAATTTTATCAGCATAGGTACGAATCATTCTACTAAGATATTATGAGATCTTGGTCAAGATCAGGTTCAAAGCATCCGAGCAAGAAAATCAGTAGCACGAGAAGAGTTTTCAACTGAAATATTCTTAGAAGATTCCATAGACTTCTTGCTCTAATCTTTCTTTGAGTCAACCTATCCTGAATATTGTCTGAAATATGTCATAACCATTTTTTGAAAGCAAAAAAGAAAGAATTCTACACAGAATCCAATTATGCTAAAACTTTAAAAGGCTCATTAAATGCTATCTAAATGTAGAATCCTAAAGGTTGCAGTATGACACTTATTGTGTTTTTTACAGAGAGCGGTTTATAATTTGTTTTCTTGTTGTGGAGAGTTATAAGAAAAACAATTACATGATGATAAAATATCCTAGATAGTTTCTATTCCTTTTTCTCAAGCGATGAGAAAATTTGCCTTGGCGAATTTTGAAAACATGAGTTATTTTTCATGATCTTTTAAGTTCAATCCTCGCAAACCTCGATTACCAATGTTACTTCGGCTTAAAGAAAGTGATGTGTTCAATTCGTAGAAAGTTTATAATTTTCTAATATTAGCAAAAATACTGATTGTTAACGAGTTGGACTGTAGCATAACAAGAGTTGCCAATACTCGGCATTCATCTCTAATAGATTGTTCCCTCATCCCTCATGTTAAGTTAGAACTAATCATGTGAACTAACTAACAATCAATCAGAAAATTATTCAAATAATGTGTGTTAGAATAACTGAAGAATAATAGTCAAATGGGAATGAAGAAATATGTTAACATTTTATCATTGTATGATGCAACCGAATGGCATACACGAACTATTATTTCTCATTTTTGTGTTCAAAAAATTCGTCATACATTATTTGGTTTTGAAGCTTTGGGGCTGTCCCTGTCCAACAAAGTCATAGAAGTAGTCAAAAAGTGTTTCAATCTAAATAAAATATTGTTGAAATAAATTCATACTTACCCCTTTTTGAAGTAATAAGTCCCTCCAATTGCGATAGTTGCATGAATTTTCTATGCACCAAATCTTGTGTATCTCGAATCTCATCCTGCAAATGAAATGAAGTGAAGATCTTCTTAGTAAATAAACTATTTAGAAGCATTCTTTTTCCTACATTTGAAAATGTTAAAAAAACAATTAGAACTGTTAAAATCTTGTTTTTTCTTTCGAGAAAAAAGTCAAATAACAAAAAAGGAAAATATCTGGCCGTATCTCTTAGTGTACAGATATTTCAAATATTGTCATATAATCTTTAATGAAAAACTGGTAACTTTTGTTCGTATTGCACGCGTAACAAATAAACAATCAATATTTGTTGCTAAAACAAATGAAAATTTCAATGTTTGTTTTTAAATCAAAAGAAAAATTAGAATCTTCTGTAAAGAAGAGTGAATGAATATAATTATTTTATTTGTTTCGTAATTCAATAATAATTATTATTGAATTCAACAATTTTAATGACAATAGAATGATATTAAATAGTGATGACACAATTTTTCATTGAAACTTTGGAAGAGAGCAACTATGAACCAGACTTTGATCGATCGTACCGATAAGCAAGATTAGGTCTATGAATTGTTTTGAAAAAATTCAATATTAACTAGGTGCTAATTGAAACATAAAGGATATAATCAAACATCAGCAATGATTTCTCGTTGAAAAATTGTTACAATAACACTTAAATTGACTTTGACTAATAGACAAAGACTTCCATGTGCTACGCATTGAGCTATATCGTACTTTGCCACACATGAAATACTTCAAGGTTGAAAGACGGCTAGAAAAGCATGACCGAAAAAGCTATTTTCTCGATCTCTTTCTGTTTTATGGAGTTTTTCAACCATCAACAAGCCATTTATGAAAAAGTCGATTTTTGTAATATTGACCTAAAAACTTGTGCATAGGTTGATGTAATTGGTTGCAATAAAATAATTCTAATTTTAATTCCTAACAAATCAATGACAATATGACGATCCAGCAGAAAAAAACTCGTCTAATAAAGTATCCTCAATAAAAACCCATTTGATTGAAAAAATTCATCCTAATTTTCTCAATCAAATCGAAAGCTCAATTCTAACAGGTTCTTATTAATACAAGTGTAAAAAATTTTTCTATGCAAGCTTGAACTATTTGGAGAACTCTCTAAATATTTATGCATAACCTTTCATAGTACAAAACTATGTTTCTAGAATATTTGAACCTATCAGAAGATCAATGGGATGTTGTTTTTATTCTTTGTCAAATTTTCAAATAAATATGATATCTGTGATTTAACAGCATTCAAGAAAATAAGCTGTGATGAAATACAATAGACAACCTATGAAAAACGTTCGATATGTAGTATTCATTTTCTTTTTTGACAATTAAAACTAGACTTATGTTTTGTTACAATCATTTATGTAAAACTAAGCATATTTTCTTTATGTCAATATTACCTAATTCAGTTTCTTCATAAAGAGCTTTTTTTGTGATCATAAAATCCTATAAGTATGAACAGAAATTGAGAAAGTAATTTCAAGAGACAAAGCCTTTTAGACTTCTTTCAATCACGAGAAGTTTCACGTATGACAAAGTATGATATGTAATGGCACGTAGTACATGGAAATATTTGTTTATGAGTCAAAGTTAATTCCGTTTTGATTCCATCGATTCTTAGTCAATGTCAAGCATTGATATTGGTATATATCTTCTACTCAGATAATGAAATCCTAGGCGCTAAAATTGCTGACACATGAACCGCTGAAAGAGTAGGAGAAATATTAACAAAATTAGTACGAGAACAAATTTCAAGCTTTAAATAACATAAAACTAGATTGAAAGAAGAATGAAAAAAAAAAATAACTTCGACTAATTGTTCAAAAATTATTGACACAATTTTTAAGAAACTTGACGAATTAATAAAAAGTGATGGACAACAAACATGTAATAGTTAAATTAGATTTTTTGTATAATCAGACTATAATATATGTATTTATAAAATAGTACGTTTCGATTTTTTTGAATAAAATATCTTGTTGATCGATTTTGAAAAATTTATCGTTACATTCTAATGCTTATATTTTTAATATTACAAAAGAAAATATTATTCAACAGTATGTCATCTGAAAGATAAACACGAGTACTCAAATCTCATATAAAAACTTTTGATTAGGAGTTATTTTCTGTTTCCATATTAACTAATTTTGTCACGCCTCACGACTTATGAAGTATTATGTACGTGTGGCTCTAATGATGATTCAAGACTATCGTCTATTCATACATCACATCTATATAGAAAGCAAACTATAAATGTTTTGGTATATATTACTAAATTATGAACAAACAAAAACTTTTCTAAACTTGCTCTAAGAAGGAATGAATCTAGATTGAACTCATTGATGTTTAATTTATAATTGTCTCGCTCTTCAATTCAACTATCAATCTCACAAGGGCTGTTGTATTTTATATTGCAAAACTACAATCCTTCGATTACTTTCATGAATATTTGGGTCAATCACTTAATGTTTTACAACAGATGTAAACTCTAGTCAGATTCAAGTAAAATCATCGGAAGTTGAGATGAAAATAGCGCAATCATAATGTCATGCGTAATATCTTCAGAAAAAAAAATCTTTTATCTTAATAATTTTCTGTATTATTACTGAATATTACTGCGACAAGATATGATCCACAAGTTCACACTTGCTAGTACATGATCAAGTGGGTAAACAAAATACATATTGTACCTTAGCTTTTTCTAAACTTTCCGCTTGGTGGTGATTGATTTTGTAGATTCTGCAGAAAAGAATAAAAGAAATAAATAATTGATTGAACATTAATGTTCAGCTGAATGCCTCACTTACATTGTCTCCAAACGTTCTAAAGTTAGTTCAGTTGATATTCTCATATTTTTATCAAATACCTGAGTGGTCCAGTACTCTAAAGCCTTTTCTACCTCAGTATCCTTGTCACGGAAGTTGTTTGCAGAGTTTATCGAACATAAGCTTTGTTCGACATTTTTGTTTAATCTTGCACCTAAAGTGAATAAATAACTATCAAACTATAAAAGTGTGTAAAATTTTACGAGACATATTCCCAAGTAAGGTAATGTATATTTTGTGGAACAATCCATAGATTATAAAGTGCACTACATGGTAGATAATGTTTAGAGGAGGAGGCACTACAGACATTTCACTGCATTCATAAATCAGCCAAAACTTTTGATACCGCCAAATTATCTGTGATTTTTTAAGTACATCTCCAATCGTCTCACTATATAGTATCAAATAGACATTATTCAAAAAAAAATCAAATATTTCTATTGAT